GCGGAGACAAGGCAAGAGACCATGGTAACCACATTCCTGAAATGCCGGCAGCTGCCTCAGAAGGTCAGCAAATGCCAGAGACGATGGAGATAGACGCTGCCCGCGCGCGGGAAAGTTTGAAAATGCAACGGCTGGGCGGGAAGGAGAAAAAAGACTGGCAAGCGGCCAAGAAATGTTTTGTCTGTCAGAAAGCAGGGCACTTTGCCAGAGTGTGTCCTGAGCGTCGCAACTGGCAGGGAATGGTTGGGGCAGCTCAACAGACTGAGGCAGAGGTCCCTAAGATGTTGGGAAACGAGGAGGCCTGGCTGGTGATGAACCGGGGCAGCAGCCAGGCACAAGCAACAGCAAAAGTCCCTGGCTTGGACACCCCAAAGCAAGCATAATGTTGAAAGTGATTCTAGAGCTCCCCAATGGCCAGACGGTGGAGGAATTCGCTTTAGTTGACTCAGGTGCTTCTGCCTCCTTTTTTAGCAAGGAGTTTGCGGCCCGGCACCAACTGAACCTGAGGCCTTTGGATTTTCCGTTGCAAGTTACTACCATTGATGGGAGAGAACTGTTGGGGGGTGAAGTCACACATCGAACGCCTCCCATGAGGATGCGGGTGTCCACCCACTCTGAGGTCATCGCCTTCCACGTGGCCACCTTGGCGGGTCCGCCGATCATATTGGGCATGAGTTGGTTGGCTCTGCACGACCCGGTGGTTTCATGGCACCAACGGTCCCTCACTTTTGGTTCGACGCACTGCATGGAGAACTGCCTGGGCCTAGAGCAACAACGGCTGACGGAGGCCAGGATGGCAGCAGCATGCGGAGCAGGAACTCCCGAGATACCTTCGTGCTACAAGGACCTGCAGGAGGTGTTCAGTGAAAAGGAGGCTGACGCGTTGCCACCTCATGGGCCATATGACTGTCAGATCAACCTGAAGCCTGGGGCCACGCTGCCTGTGGGACAGACCTACGCCATGTCGGAAGGAGAAATCGAGAACCTAAAGGACTTTATTGAGAAAAATCTGAGGAGGGGATTCATCAGAGAATCCAAGGCGGTTGGTGGGAGCCCTGTGTTCTTCATGGACAAGAAATCGACTAACGAACGCCACTTGGTCGTGGATTTCAGAATCCTGAACAGCCTGACGGAACCGGTGGCCTTCCCAATGCCCAGGATTGACGATGTTCTAGCCAGGGTGCGAAAGGGGAAGATTTTCATCAAGTTGGACCTCCGGGGGGCGTACAATCTCATCAGAGTGCGAGAGGGCGATGAGTGGAAAACCACTATGTTCACCCCGCTGGGGGCATTTGAGTATCTCGTTATGCCTTTCGGATTACAGTGTGGCAGTCCCTGTTTCCAGGCCTTCATGCACCACATGCTAAGGCCTTTGCTGTACCAGAACTGCATTTGTTTCCTGGACGATGTACTGGTGTACTCGGACAATGAGAAACAGCACGTCAAGGACGTACAGGAGGTCCTGAGCAAACTTAAGGAGCATCGATTGTGGGGGAAGCTGGAGAAGTGTCAGTTCCACGCAAAAGAGGTCGAGTTCCTGGGTTACCGGCTATCAGACAAGGGTCTGGCCATGGATCCGGAGAAGGTGAAGGCGGTGGTGGAATGGGAGAGCCCTAAGACCAGGAAGGATGTTCAGCATTTCCTGGGTTTCAGCAATTTCTATAGGAAATTCATCAAAGGTTTCGCGAAACTGACGGCACCCATAACGGACTGTCTTAGTGCCAAGAAGAAGTTTCGCTGGACGGAGGCGGCACAAGAAGGTTTCGAGCAGCTAAAGAGGGTCTTTGCATCAGAGGAGCAACTGCTCCATGTCAACCCCGATCAACCACTATGGGTTGAGACGGACGCCTCTGATCGGGCGATTGGGGCGGTTTTGCTGCAGCCAGATCAAAAAGGGGAGTGGCGTCCGTGTGCCTTCTTTTCACGGAAACTGAGTAAATTAGAGCAGAACTATACTATCTACGATAAGGAATTGCTTGCGATCGTCGCTGCGTTCAAACAATGGCGGCATTTTCTGATTGGAGCGAGGCACCAAATCTTGGTGTGCACTGACCACAAGAATTTGGAGTACTGGCGAACGGCGAGGGTGTTGTGCCAGAGACAGATAAGGTGGGCGGAGTTCTTTGCCAACTTTAACTTTCAGATCCAGTATGTGTCGGGAGAACAGAATGCGAGGGCCGATGCACTGTCACGGAAACCGGAGTATATGGCGGAAGAAGGGGCTCCGGTGGCAAGACTGATGTTCCCCGAGAGCAAGTGGATGTGGGGGGGGGGGGCATTGGTCAAGGACGATGAACTGATGGGGCTGCTCAGAGAGGATGACTTTGCCAGGCAAAAGATGGAGGAGTTAAGGCAAAGGGGAGGTTCCGAGGGAGGTTCTGAAGTAAGGGGGGGGGCTCCTGTACTATAGGGGAGCTTTGTATGCCCCGGGGGAAAACCTTAGGAACAGAGTGCTCAAACAACTCCACGATAGCTGCACGGCGGGGCACTTTGGGCAGCATAAAATCATGTTGCTGGTCACCAGGGAATTTTGGTGGCTCAAGGTGAGGGAAGATGTCAAGGAGTATGTGAGAGGATGTGACACCTGCCAGAGGGCCAAAGGGGAAAGGGCGGCACCAGCTGGTTTGCTGGAACTTTTGCCCACACCGGGCAGGCCATGGGAGGTGGTGGCGGTGGACTTCATCACTGATCTGCCCAGGTCCAGGGGAAAGACAGCGATCATGGTGGTGGTGGATCTTCTAACAAAAATGTGCCATATTCTGGCCTGCTCGCATGGGGAGACGGCTGACGAACAAGCCAAGCTGTTCGTTGAGCACGTGTTTAGGTTACACGGGGTACCCACGCGGGTGGTCTCAGATAGGGGGACTCAGTTCACCACGCGTTTTTGGCACAGACTCATGAGTCTGTTGCAGGTGGAGGTGAGTTTTACCACAGCCAGGCACCCGGAGACCAATGGGCAGGCGGAGAGAGCAAATGCTGTCTTGCAACAGTATTTGCGGTGTTATGTCAGTCAGAGACCCAGCGAGTGGGTGGACAAACTCGCTGTGGCTGAGTTTGCCTACAACAACGCGGAGAATGTTTCCACGGGAATGACTCTGTTTTTTGCTAACCATGGTTGTCACCCAAGGGCATTTCCGGGGAGGGGGGAGGAGTCATGGAGTGTGCCCGCAGCAGAACGCTTTGCAGAGGAAATGGAGGCGATCCACCTGCAGCTGCAGTTGAACTTGGAAAGGGCCAAGGAGGTTTACAAGAGGCAGGCCAACAAGCATCGGCGGCCGGGGGAAGTGGTCCGGGTTGGGGATAAGGTGTGGTTGCCCACGCAAGGGTTGCCCTGGAAAGGAGGTTGCAAGAAGCTCAAGCCCCAGAGGGTGGGACCATTTGAGGTAATCCAACAAATCAGCCCGGTGGCCTTTAAGCTGCGGTTGCCAGAGAGCATGAGAATCCATCCAGTGTTTCACCGGTCACTGCTCTCCCCTGGGGGGGGGGGGGTGGCTGGATGGTGGGGGTGGGGAACCCCCACATTTTAGACATATTCTTATCATTAGTATCTAACAACTCCGTTTTCAATTTGTTTTTTTCTGTTGCAAAACCATTTCTCTTATCCATCTTATATAATTCGTTAATTTGATAATATTGCAACCAATTCACTTTATCTTTAATTTGTTCAAATGGCTTTAATTTAAAACCTTCCTGATTCTCTAACAACAAATCTGAATACCTCATCCATTTGTTTTCCATATTTAACTTTTTTGGGGCCTGTGCTTCCATTGGTGAAATCCATTTTGGTGTTTTTCTTACTAAGAGATCTTTGTATCTAGTCCATACATTGTATAATGCCTTTCTAATTACATGATTCTTAAAACCACTGTGGGCCTTTATCTTGTCATACCATAGATATGCATGCCATCCAAATCGATTATCCAGTCCCTCCAAGTCTAACACATCCTCATTCTCTAATTGAATCCAATCCTTGATCCAGCCGAATGCGGCAGCTTCAAAGTATATCTTCAAATCTGGTAGGGAAAAGCCCCCTCTTTCTTTATATCTGTAAGTAATTTATATTTAATTCTAGGTTTCCCCCCCTGCCAGATAAATTTAGACAATGCCTTCTGCCATTCTTTAAAACATTTGACATTATCAATGATTGGTAAAACTTGAAATAAAAACAACATCTTCAGCAATACATTCATCTTAACCACCGATATTCGGCCCATCAATGAGAGTTTTAGGTTTGACCATATCTCAAGATCTCTCTTGATTTCATTCCATAATTTTTCATAGTTATCTTTATAAAGATTCAAATTCTTTACCAATAAGTTCACACCCAAATATTTAACTTTTTTCCCAGAAACAAGGCCTGTCCTTTCAAAAAGGTTTTTTCTTTCCTCATTATCTAAGTTTTCCCCCTAAAACTTTGGTTTTGCTCTTGTTTAATTTAAATCCTGCTACCTGCCCAAACTCTTGAATCAGCTCCAGTGCTTTTACTGCACTGGTTTCTGGATCTTGTAAAGTTAAAGCCAAGTCATCAGCAAAAGCTTTTAATTTATATTGCTTGGATCCTACTACAATGCCTTTAACCTCCTCCTCTTTCCTCAACATGTTTAACAAAACCTCCAGAACAGAAATAAATAGCAGAGGGGAAAGTGGGCACCCTTGCCTGGTTCCTTTCTCACTTCTGATTTCCTCTGAGACCACATTATTAAGTATGATTTTTGCTTTTTGTTCAAAATAGATCACATTGATACCATTTAAAAATTCCTGGCCAAGCCAACCTCAATTCTTTCTAGGTTTTTCATCATAAATAACCAAGAAACATTATCAAAGGCCTTTTCAGCATCAATAAACATTAACATTACTTTACAATTTCTTTTCACTTCCAACCTTTCTATTATATCAATTATATTTCTAATGTTATCTTTCATATGTCTCCCAGGTAGAAATTCTGCCTGGTCCTTATGTATATAATTTGATAGAACCTTTTTTAATCTATTGGCCAAAGTGTTTGCGAAGATTTTATAATCCACATTAAGTAATGAGATTGGTCTATAATTTTTTACATCAGATCTATCTTGATCTATTTTTGGAATCAGAGTGATAAATGCATCTTTCCAGGTTTCGGGAGCTTTGTCCCCTCTTAGAATCTTATTACACACATCTGCCAACGGTTGAATTAGCCAATCTTTCAATATTTTTATTTTATTTTATTTTTTATAATATTTTTATTCATTTTCCAATACAAAATTATACAATCAAAACATCTTATTTGTCACCAATTTCTCCTTTTTGACTTCCCTCAACTCGCCTGCCAATCCTTCATATTACTTACTTCTTCCACATTTCTTAAATTAATATTGCACTAGAATATTATTTAACTTTTTATCTTGTTTTTTTAAAAAACAATATTTCTGACTTTTCTTATCACAAAACTTCCTTAAAACTTACAAACGTTATCTCATCATCACTTAATTTTTGCATATATTCTGTAAATTTTCTCCAGTCTTCTGTGAATCTCTGGTCGCGTCGATTCCGGATCCTTCCTGTTAGTTTATCGAGTTCCGCATAGTCCATCATTTTCATTCTCCATTCTTCTATCGTAGGTAGCTCTTCTTGTTTCCATTTCTGGGCCATCAATATTCTTGCTGCTGTCACCGCGTATAAGAATAATTTCCTTTCTTTCTTTTTTATTTCATTACCTATTATTCCTAGTAAAAACGCTTCTGGTTTCTTAACAAATGTATATTTCAACATTTTCTTCAATTCATTATATATCATTTCCCAAAAGCTTTTTACTTTTTTACATTCCCACCACATATGATAAAACGTTGCTTCCTTTTCTTTACATTTCCAACATTTATTACTTATCTTATACATCTTTGCTAATTTCACTGGTGTTATATGCCATCTATACATCATCTTCATCACATTTTCTTTTATTATAGTACACGCAGTAAATCTTATTCCTTCCTTCCACAGTTTTAACCAATCATCTATTTGTATATTATAACCAAAATCTTTGGCCCAGTCAATCATAACCGATTTCACCTCTTCATCCTTTGTATACCATTCCAATAATAACTTATACATTCTTGCTAAGCTTTTAGTTTCATTGTTCAATATTTCTTTCTGAAATTTTGATTCTTTATCAGAAAAACCCCTTTGTATCATATCTTTCTTAAACATTTCATTGATTTCAAAATAATGCAGCCAATCATTAACATATTCTTTAACCTCTTCATATGGTCTCATTTTCCATTTACTTCCTGCCCTCGTTATTAACTTCTCATAAGTCGCCCATCCCCCCCTCATATTGATCTTCTTTACACTCATCGCCTCCAGTGGCGATAGCCAATATGGAGTTTTTGGCTCCAATAGATTTTTATACCTCTCCCAAACTTCAATAAGAGACCTTCGTATTATGTGGTTTTCAAAACCTTTATGCACACGTTTCTTGTCATACCACAAATATGCGTGCCACCCAAATCTATTATCAAAACCTTCCAAATCTAACAATTCTGTATTTTCTAGTTTCATCCATTCTTTTAACCAACAGAGGCATGGTGCTTCATAATATAATTTCAAGTCTGGCAGGGCGAAGCCTCCTCTTTCTTTTGCATCTGTCAATAACTTAAACTTTATTCTCGGCTTCTTACCCTGCCAGATATACCTTGAAATTACTCTCTGCCATTCTTTAAAAGTTACTGCGCCTTTAATTATTGGAATTGTTTGAAACAAAAATAGCAATTTCGGTAGCACACTCATCTTTATTGTTGCAATTCTTCCCCAAAATGACAATTTCATTCTTCCCCACACCTCCAAGTCTCTTTTGATCTTATTCCAAATTGGGGAATAATTATTCTGAAATAGGTCAATACTCTTGGGGGTTAACCAAACTCCTAAATATTTAACTTTCTTGACTACTTCCATCTCTGTTTGTTGCTGCATTTTATCAATTATTTCTTGATCCATATTTTTGGCAATTATTTTGGTTTTTTTCTTATTCAATTTAAATCCCGCCACCTGACCAAACTGATCTATTTCTTTCAGCACTTCTGTTACAGTATTTATGGGATCCTCCACAGTAATAACCAAGTCATCAGCAAAGGCCTTAACCTTATATTCATTACAGCCCACAGTCACACCTTTTATTTGTTCATTACTTCTTATTGCCCTTAGAAAGACCTCCAGGACCGCAATGAATAACAATGGTGAGAGAGGACACCCTTGTTTTGTACCTTTAGTTATTGTAATATTTTCTGTTGTCACATTGTTAACTATTAGTTTTGCTCTTTGTTCTGTATATATTGCCTTAATACCATTTAAAAACAATTGTCCCATATCCATCATTTCTAAGTTTTTTATCAAAGGCCTTCTCTGCATCCACAAATATTAACATTGCTTGTTTATCATTCCTGGCAGTCAGATATTCCATTATATTAATTATATTTCTTATGTTACCTTTCATCTGCCTGCCTGGAAGAAAACCTGCTTGATCGTTATGTATCAATTCTTTTAATACCTTTTTCATCCTATTTGCTAATATACTTGCAAACAATTTATAATCATCATTCAAAAGCGAAATAGGCCTATAGTTTTTAACTTGAGACAAATCAGAATCTTGTTTAGGGATAAAAGTAATATAAGCTTCCTTCCATGTTTCTAGTATTTCTTTTTTTGTTAAAATATTATTCATCACTTCTTTCAACGGTACGAGTAGAATGTCTTTCATTTCTTTATAAAACCTCGCACTAAATCCATCCGGCCCTGGCATCTTTCCACTTTTCAATTCTTTAATTGCACAGTTAATTTCTTCTATCTTGATTGTCTTGTTCAGTTTATTCTTTTTCTCCATCGGATTTTTCTGCACCTCTTTTTCCTTTAAAAAATCTTCTATTTTTTAATATTACCTTTTTCTTTTCTTTTATATAAATGTCTCTAGAAATCCACAAATCCTTTTCTAATTCCTTTCGGATTATCTATCTCTTGATCTTCAACTATAATTTTTTGAATTGTGTTTTGCTCTTTCCTTTTTTTAATCTGCCAAGCCAGAAATTTTCCTGATTTATTTGCAAACTCAAAATTCCTCTGTCTCATCCTTTTGATGTTCCATTCTACTTCTTTGTTTATTATCATCGCAAATTGTGATTGTAGAGTTTTAATATTCAATTTCAATTTCTTGTCCTCGGGTCTGGTAATTAACTTCTTCTCATTCTCCATTATTTGTTTTAAGATTTCTTTTCCCCCCTTTTCTCTAAATTTATTTTTGATTGTATTTTGTTGAATAAAGAAACCTCTCATCACTGCTTTACCAGCGTCCCAGACTGTACTCATTTTTGTTCCTTGATTTATATTATTTATGAAGTAGTCCTTCAAACACTTTTGCATGGTTTCCACTATTTTCTGATCATCAAATATATTTTCATTTATTCTCCACCGGAAAGATTTTTCCTCAAATCCTCTTACTATGCATTTTATCGCATTATGATCCGAAAGTACTTTAGGTTGGATTTCAATCTTTGATATTATTGGTGTTAATTCATTAGATATCCATATCTGATCAATTCTGGACATTGACTGATTTGCCTCAGAATGGAAGGTGAATTGTTTTTCTAATGGGTGTCTCAGTCTCCAAATATCAATTAAATTGCAGTTTTCTACCATTGAAAAGAATGTTTTTGGTAGCTTTCCTTCCTTTGTTTTCCCTGTTGCTCTTAATCTATCCATTTCCATTGACACTACTGCATTCATATCACCCATTATTATAATCTTTTGATCCAAATATTCAAATAGTCTTTCCTCCAAATCTTTGAAAATGTCCATTTTATTATCATTAGGTGCATACACTCCGACAATTATTAATTTTTCGCCTTGCCATTTTACTTGTACTGCAACAATTCTGCCCTCTTCGTCCTTGAAAATCTATTGAGCCTCCAATTTATTTTTTATGTATAATACCACCCCTCTCTTTTTGCTTTTATCAGATGAAATAAATTCATTTCCTAATTTTTTATTAATTAAAATTTTTCTATGTTTTCTCGTCACATGTGTCTCCTGTAAACAAATAATGTCTAAATTCTTTTTTTTAAAGTATTGTTGAATTTTATTTCGTTTTTTTCCTATCGTTCATCCCATTAACATTCCAAGTCCATAGTTTCAACGCCATGATGATTCCCAATTAATTTTATTAATAAATTTTTAATTCTGTTTCTCCTCTTCCTCTTCTTTTTCCTCCTCTTCCTCCCTATCCTCTTCAGATTCTTGAGAGCCTCCTCCTTCCGCCCCTGCTCCCATCGCTGCCACTTCTTCTTCTTCTCTTCCTAACTCTCTGTATCTTCTCAGGAACTTGTCCATTTCGTCTGGTCTTGTAAGCCTATGTCTTTTCCCTTTATAAGAAAATGAAAGCCCCTCTGGAAATTCCCACTTAAATTCAATTTTGTTTTTCCTCAATATTTGCACCAGCTGTTTATATTGGTCGCGTTTTTTTAATAAACAAAGTGGGACGTCTTTAAAAATAATTATATAATTTCCATCAATATTCAATCTTTTTTCTCTATTCTTTTGCAAAATTAAATTCCTTATTTCTCTATGCTTAAAAATAATCAGACAATCTCCGGGAAATTTCTTTGCTTTAGTTGTCCTGACCTTAATTCTGAAAGCGTTTTGTATTGTCTTTGCGACGTCCTCCTCTTGCATCTCTAACCATTGGGCAATCTCTGTACTCAATTTCTCCTTTATTCTTTCTCCTTGAACCTCTGGCACCGATCTAAATCTCAGATTATTTTCTCTCTGCCTCAGTTCATTCATGGCAATTGCGTCCCACAGTTCCTCTTGTGCTCTATTCACCTCTGACACCTCTGCTTTGATTTTCTCTTCTTTTTTAATTTCCCTAACATCTAATTTGGTCTTTTTCATCCCTTCTTCCAAATTTTGTGTCCTTTTTGTCATCTCTACATTTGTCCTTTTATCTCATTAACCGTTTCATCAGTTTTATTAACAGTCACATCTATTTTTTTATCCATTTGTTCCAATTTTGTTTCAATATTTTTCTCACTTTTTTTTATTTCTAACTTAATATCTGATTTAAGCTCTGTAAACATCTTTATTAAGTCTCCTTTAATTTCAGATTCTTGCCTAGAACTCTTCCTTTCTGCAGGTGTCCCTCCTTCACCTTTCTTCTGTATGTGAGACATTCTGATTAAATATCTTCTGCCACCTATGTAACTGTTCCAATTTAGCTCCAATAAAAGTATCCACCAGAGGGAGCTAACTAAAAACAAAAACCCAAGGCCACAAGATCCGGAATTTAGAGCAATTAAAAATTCAGAGGGTTACTTCACTTTCTTCTTGCCACTTGGATGGCCACATCCAATATTTTTAATTATATTCCACAAAACCACTAACACACAAAAAAAGTCCCTCTCTCTTTAAAAAGTTTTAAAATAAAGGCAAAACCAAAATAAAAATTCCCAAACCAAGTCCCTCAAAAGAAGCAAAGAGAAACAAAAAGTCTATCCATATATATAAAAAAAGGAAAAAAGGAAGAAAAAGGCGAAAAAGTGAAACTAATTCCAATCCAATCAGCTACTTAAAAGAGAAGCAGGATTAAATCTCATCCACTCCGGAGATCAAAATGGCGATGCCCTGTTCTATTCCAGTCATTTCCGTAATAAACAAAAAGAGTGGGGGTGCAGTCTCCAATAAATCCAAAGAGGGAGAAAACCACGCTAAATATGTCCCATATATACTTAAACTTAGCAACCAAAAGAGCAGTTTGTGTCTTCTTATCGTATGGTAATACAAAGGAAGAAAAGGTAAATACACACTTAAACAAAGACTTCAAAAGTCTGTAGTCTGTGCTTCTTGCTTGTTGCGCAGCTCTTTTAAAATCGAAAGTAAAAAACAACCCGAAGGTCCTTTGTCGACGTTTCCCATTGATTTCACATAAAGACTGTCCACAAAAAGAAAAATTATCTCCTCTATCCCCTCCGTCCACCTTACTCCTTAATAGGAGCCAAATAAAAAGAATCAAAAAGAGATAAATCCAACCGCCAAAACAACCCCCTTCTGTTCCGTTCTGAGAATAATCCCTGTGTATTCTTAGGAATCCAGACAAGGCTGACCTCCTTTTTTCCACCTTGTCTGTGTCGAATTAGATCCAATTAGATTATATTTTAGTCCTTTTTTTAAAGTTTCCAATTCGATTTCTTAGTTTGGAGAGCCGATCGCTCCAGCGTACAAGCTCGGGGCTTCGCTCCTGGAGGTTAGCAATGGCGTCCCGCTGCCTGCCTTTCTACCCCGCCGCTTTCATCTCCTCTAAAAAAAGAGGTTACCTGGCGGCCGGGGGAATCGCTCAACGGCCGTGCCGGGATCCTGGCCCCTGAATCTCCTTCCAGGGGTGTGTTGGGGGGCTGCGGTGCCCTTGTAGCACCCCCCTTTTCCTCCAAGGAGCTGGATTCCCTCTCCGGAGGGTAATCCCGCTTGTTTTCGGCCCACTATCCAACCGGAAGTCCCAATCTTTCAATATTTTATAATATTTTGCAGAAAGACCATCCGGTCCTGGGGCTTTGCCTGACTGCATCTTATTTATTGCCATCTCAACCTCCTGTCTTGTAATCATGCCATTTAGTAGGAACTGAGATAAGATGGCGCCCGGCACACTTCCCCTGTGCCGATGGACGCTTGTGCCGATAGGAAAAACTTGAGCTCTTAGCAGAGTTCTTAGCAGAGTTCTGCAGCGGTAGAAAGTGTTGTCTTGTGTGTGGATAATAAATCAGACTGAACGCAGGCTTCTTGCTAATCTCTAACAGTCTTTAATGAGAAGAAAAACATCATAAATTCAGTCCCGGCGAGAGAGCGGACATTCTTTCGGCTCTCAGCCAAAAACGAAAGGAAACTCACACACAAAGAAAGATTCCCGTATGTGAACCAAACCACGCCTCAGAATGTGAGACGTCACACAGAACTGTTTAACCCTGTAAGTTCTGATTCTCCTCACACCTTTTATCCTCGGGAATTTTTTGCATTTCATTTTCCACAATAAATTGCTCAATTTTATCCTTATCTTCTTTACCTTTTTTATACAGCTGTTTAAAGTATTTCTGAAAACATTTTCTTATATCTGCAGGGTTTTCCATAGATTTTCCATCAGATACAATGTTTGTAATAGTACTTTGCTTCTGTCTCTTTTTTAATTGCCAAGCCAACAATTTGCCACATTTATTCACAGATTCAAAATTTCTCTGTTTCATCATTTTAATTTTCCATTCTATTTCCTGGTTAATAATTTGAGAAAATTGAATCTGCAATGCTTCAATTTCTTTTGGAATCTGTTGACTCTTTGGCATTAATCTTAAACTCTTCTCTTTGTCTTTTATTTGAGACAGAATTTCCTCTTTTTTCTCATTCTGTATCTTTTTTCCTTATCGAGTTCTGTTGTATGAGGAAACCTCTCATTACTGCCTTACTTGCATCCCAAATGACTCTTGTTTCAACCTCTGTGTTCATATTTAGTTCAAAATAGTCTTTTAGAGTCTTTTGGGCCTTACTAATCATCTGTTCATTCCTCAACACCTCATCATTCATCCTCCATCTAAAGGAACCCTGCAGGTATAATTTCATCTCCAAAACCACTGCATTATGATCTGAGCAAGTCTTAGGGCAAATTCCTGTTTTAGTAACCTTAGGAACCAAATCTCTGGATATCCATAAATAGTTGATTCTCGAGAAAGATTGATTTGAATTCGAGAAAAAAGTGAAATCTCTCTCCATTGGATTTCGTAGCCTCCATATGTCCGACAAATCGTATTTATCAGTCATATCAAAGAAAATCTTTGGTAGTCTGACCCTGTGTTTTATCCATTAATGTTGATGCTACTCCATTCAGGTCTCCCATTAAAATCAATTTGTAATCCATATAATCCATGAGTTTTAAGTCGAGATTCTTAAAGAATTCCACTTTGCCATCATTTGGTGCATAAATTCCCAGCAAAAGAAATTTATCGCCTTGTGCCGTAATTTCAACTGCAATGTACCTCCCTTCCTCATCTTTAAACAACAATTTGGGGTTCCATTTTTCTTTAACGTAAAAAACCACACCTCTTTTTTTCACTTTGTCGGATGAAATAAATTCCTGCCCAAGTTTCTTATTTTGGAGAATTTTCCTATGAAGTCTTATAACATGTGTTTTATAAAATATCCTCTAATAACCGCCTTGCCTGCATCCCATATTGTTCTGATATCGCTCGTTTACTTGTTATTTAATTCGAAGTATTCCTTTAGTGTGTTTTTAGCATCTTCTATTATTTTTTCATCTTTCAATAAAGATTCATTCAATTTCCTTCTCCTTATTCCTGTTCTCCAATCTGATTTTAGGCCTAAGTGGACCGGATTATGGTCTGAAATTGTTTTTGGTAAAATCTGTGACTCCTCAATCCTTCTAAGCAAGTCTGTAGAAATCCATATAGCATCTATCCTGCTAGCCAATTTCTTTGGTTCAGAGAAATACGTATAATCTCTTTCTAGCTCATGTTTTATACCTCCAAGAATCTTTTAGTTCCAAGCAAGCTCTCAATCAAATTCACAAAACTGGATGGTAATTTCCCTTGTCTATTATTTCCTCCCATTCTATCTGGTTGTGGGTTTATAACCCCATTAAAATCTCCTAATAATATTATTTTTTCTTCCATATAGTCTAACAACTTCGTTTCTAGTTCGTTAGGGGCACACACCCCTACTATAATATTTTTTTCTCCTTGGCTTTGAATTTTGAGTATTATTATTCTTCTGTTTGGGTCTGAAAATATTAATTCTGGCTCTAAGCATGGTCTAACATAGACCACTACCCCTCTTTTTTTTACCTGGACAGAGATGAATTCTTTTCCTAGCTTAGGATTTATTAGCACTCTTTTGTGGTCTTTTGTAACATGGGTCTCCTGTAAGCAGATGACATCATTCTTTTGTTTCATTAATATGTGTTGTACTTTGTTCATTTTTTCTTTTCGTTTAAACCATTAACGTTCCACGACATAATTTTTAGATTCATTTTTATTCGTTAAAATTTGTTACAATAATTTTTATTTACAATATTAACAACTTAGCAAGTCAGTGTATAATACTTTATTGAATGTCAAATCACCTTCTGCAATCACGTTCCTAATGTATTCTAGATTAGTGTTCTTTTAGTTATTATATTTTAGGCTGGACTTTCTTCTATTGTCTGTCTGTTGCCCCCAGCTCATTTTTATATGTTCTGTAGAATTTTTCAGCTTCTTCTACTGTTTCTAATCAATCTTCTTTTTCCTTTAAAATTAAAGGAGATTCCCTCTGGGAATTCCCATTTTAAAAATATAGATTTTGCTTTTAGGGCATTTGTCAGGAATTGATATTTTTCTCTCTTTTTAAGCAGATGGGGGGGGATTTCTTTCAAGATTATGATGTCTTCTCCTTTTATTTTAAATGCCTTCTTTCTTCTATGTTGTAAGATCCTATTCTTCAGTTTATTCAATGAGAATGTAATTAAGCAATCCCCAGGCCATTTATTTGCCTTTGCTTTTCTAGAGTTTACCCTGAATACATTCTCTGTGTTTTCTGATATCAAATCTTCTTCTACTTCTAGTCAATTAGGTACTTCTCTTGTGATAGTTTCTTGTACATTCTCTTCAGCTATTTCTGGAACACCGTGTATTCTGAGAATATTCTCTTTAGTTTGCATCTGGAGAATAGACAAGGCATCCCAGGTTGTCTCCTGTGTTATTTTAAAGTCATCATTTTCCTTTTTAACCCTTTCCCAATCTTTTTTTATTTTCTCTTAATTCTTTGGAGGTTTTTTTTGAAATTTCTTCTAAATGCTGTGTTTTGGTTTTAAGTTCATGTATTGATTTTGTTAGTTCTTGCTTTCCCTCAGTGAGTTTTTTTCCTTGAATCTTCAAATCTGTAACTGATTTTGTATTTTCATCAATTTTTCACGCCATCCTATATAATTTATCATCTAGTCCTTTTACTTTATTATTCATTTCCATTTTGAGATCACAAAATTCCTTTTTTATGTATCCTATATTGTTCTTCAAACTCAGAATGAGGTCTCTCAAGTCCATTTCTTGTTCTAACCCAGAATTTATTCTGCCCTGTTGGTTGTATGTTGGGCCTGTAATAAACTTTTTGTTGGATGACATATTAGTTTCTTTGGGATAAAGTAAAAACCTTATCTCAAGCCTTAATTTTTACTCTTTCCCTCTGTCCTCCCTGAGGTTATATAAGGTTAATCCCTTGGCATGATCTTTTATTTCCAAATAAAACTTGGCACCTTCCGATTTATAAAATAATGACTTTTTTCAATTTTTCTTATCTCTCTATCCCCCCCCATTGGGTTTGTTGCTTTCTGTATAAAATCAAATATTTCTAAATAATCCAAATACCTTTCGTTTTTCACTCTTCTCCCCCGCCCGCCTCCATTCCACCCCTCTCCCCCCACTCCCCTCCCACCTCGTCACCCACTCTCTTCAAATGAGATTCCTAT